TGACTAAATAGAGCTAATCAAGCCTATTGTTAGGCGATGGCCCTCTTTTYCATGTGACTAACCTGTTTGTCCATGTGGAGGCAGTGCTTATAAGGCTGAGTTCACCTGAAACTCATCAGACTGAAGAAGTCTCTTGGAGGAGAGATGAAAGGTTTCACTAGAGAAGAACCCATCCAGAGGACCTACTTGTTTTTTCTTTTTGACACAATCTACTAAAATCTCAAACACAAAAACACTCCATCAACCCACCTCAAGTGGGTCAATCTGGCTCTCAATCTGCTGGATGCTGTCTTTGGAGGCCGTCAGTTGAGCCTCCTTGGTGGCCACAGTGTCTCTGATCTGCTGAGCCTTCTCTTTGTTCAGCTTCAGATAACGCAGCTCCACCTGACACTCTTTGACTGTCTGACCTTTTTTGAGGCGCAGCTGACGCATCGTCTCCAGAGCTTTGATATACCTAACAGAAAGACACACAAGACTGTATAACATCTGCATAGGCTGATGCTATTTTTACTCATTAAAGGCAATCCGATGCTTTAATGGTTACCTAAACTAAATTACAATAAAACAGACAAATATGTCGAACTTACTTTGTTGCAGCAAATATGGAGTCAAATTTTTCTTTGAGAGCTTTGCCCTCACTTAGCGGCCAGTTAGACTCTTCTTGGTGACAGAAGATAACATGATTCAGCACAGGCTTGGATACTCCCAATGCAGAAATCATCTCCTGGTCCACCTCGGCACACTTGGCAGGTAAGCTCACTRTTTCACCATTTCTAGATCGATTACAATGAAAGTCATGTGCAAAACCAGATTCCACGAAATATAGAAACCAAATTTCCTTTTAACGTTGAATAATATACTAGCAGAGAAAAGAGAGGTTCTTACTTCCATCTTGATATGACCTGGTCTAAGCTTTTGAAGGAGTAGTTTTTAGCTTTCTGAGTGCAAGACATGGAGCGTTGAATGGTGACTTTTTCTCCATTGACATCTGTGAAGAGGAGTTTAATCTGAGCTCGCACATCTGTCTCATGGGCATCCTGCAATATTAAAATGCATAAATAACTTCAGTAACAATAGAACCATCTGACTGGATAGTAAAGTCCCTTTGAGAAAAAAAACACAAGYTACAAGTAGATTAATAATTTTATAAAGCTCAAACATCAAACTTAAATAATTCATTACAAACGCTTCAATTTTGTTGTTGTTTTTTTTTTCCTGTCTGCATTTTGTTATGACCTGTATGAAATTTGTGAAACCCAATCACAGATTATCTCAAATCCAAACATTTTAATGTGTTTGGAAAATAAATACTTATATAACTCACCTTTGGATCATGAACAAAAGCACCTCCTTTAGAACCAGGCGGAAGTTCTCCTGATGTAGCATATTTAAGGCACTCAATAATTGTCTGATAATATAAAACAAAAGCATGGGGGACAAAGAGAATCAATTCAGGTTAGCACTTGATGTTTTCACATTAAAAAAAGCCTATTAAAAGAAACAATAAGTCATTTCATCAACAAATTGATAACTTCCTTCGTAGTCATGTTTCTGTTAAACTCATCGTATTGTTGTCGTACCGTTTTTCCTGCTCCGTTGGGTCCAACCAGAACAGTTAAAGGTGGCCGAAAAGAGATGACTTGTTTGTCTTTGTCCTCAATTCCGAAGCTCCTGACCCCCAGGATGCTCATTTTATCTATCCTTGACATTTTGGCTTTCTGGAAGACATTTAAGGATACTATGAAACAAATACATCTGAATGTAGATTATTCTGAAAACAAAAGGCCATTTCAAACCACAAATACTGAACATGAAGAATCAAATGGAACTGGTAGCATCAGATAATCTGCAGATAATCTGCAGAATGCTGTATTTCTTTTTGCTGTTTCAGTGTGCAGCTAGAAATATACTTAGAAATGCAAATCTGGCAACTTGTCAAACTTTATCACCTTAAGTAAAAGTGTTATTGTTTCAAATGCCTTTTATTTACATTACCACTGTACCACTACTAGTACACATATTTCCTCATACTATAGTTAGGTGATGAGTGGAGATTAGTGAGTATTCCTAGTTTTGCTACAGTCGCCTCCTCCTACATCACAACTGTATGTTGGCTAAAGGTTTATCTAGTAAATATAGCTCTCTTTGCAGCACTCACGAGTAATAAAGACGTTTTATTCAACACTCTTTAAAACTACAAGCTTAAAAACTTGTAAGCTAACAACGAATTAGCTAGCATCGCGAAGTGGCGACGACTCCTTTAATTTAACACTATTCAACGAAATGAGTCACTGTAGGTTATTACAGAACTTATTTTACTACATGTAGCGGTTTGCTGTCACATATGGTCACTTTTTTTTACCCCACTCACCTCGGTCAGTAGCTACAATTCTGCTCAAAAATGAAAACACAGTTTCGCGGGGAATGTGAACGGAAGTAGTGACGCACTTCCGGTAGTAAACATAAACATCGTCGTTTTGCTCCAAACCTCTTTACTCAGTATAAAAAATACACAAGCTTTGAATTACATCTATTTAGGTAATTTTTAAGAACATAGTACAAAATTAACGAATTAATACGATTAAAACGAGTTTTTTTTTCCTGGAGTAAAATGGAAGCTTTTATTATGCTTTCCTATCCTCATTTACTATATTATGCACATAAAAAAATAATATTGTTTACATTTTTTGGCAAAGGTTTGGTCTGATTAGATCAGTCAGACTATGCTACTTAAAAAAACACATCATTCAAATTAATCAGTTCACATATTTTAAAACACTGACCACAAGAGGGCAGTGTTTACTCATAAAAAACTTGAGCTTTCAAACACTGCAACATACCCAGCTTTTTCATCATTCTTTTTTTATTTTATTTTAGTGCCTTTTTCTAAGGCCGTTCTTGTGAAACTGTTGACCACTCCTGTCTTTCAGGACAAAAAAAATAGTTATCTAATCTGACTTTAATAGGTGAAAAACAGAAGATGGCTTTTATTTTTGTCACTGCAGCAAGCATTAATAGTTTCACTGTTTATCCACATTTTCATTCTAAAAGCACCAACCTCATTTTTGATCCTAGTGTTGAGTGACTTAAATCATTTCACCTTTGTTTTTTTTGCGATTCAATTACTCTTAAAAAAGATTTGACAATATTTWAGCAAGCTTGGCAAACATGGCAAATCACACTAAAGCACCTGTAATGGAAACACAGATGATATTTGCACAATCATAATTGTTCAGTTATTGATAACAATGCGATGAATATAATTAGAGCCAGTGCAGTCAACATTCTATGTTTTTGACTTGACAGTGTAAAAGGCAGATGATGGTCTGTGTGCCAGAAGAAGACATTGAATAAAGGATAATGCAGTGTTCAGATAAGATATCCTGCATYTGTCAGGTTCTTGTTGATGGAATGGCAATGACGAAATCCAACCCAGTCTCAGCAGCTTCTTTGTGGCAACTCTTATCATCAGACTGGGAGATGGTGCTGCTTGAAATTCAATTCAATTCAAAAATATTTTATTGATCCCAGAGGGACATTAGGTGTTGCTGTAACTCATTTAACTAAAGAATTATTGTAGATGCTGATGGCTGTGGGCAGGAAAGATCTTCTGTTGCGGTCTGTATTACAGCGAAGTTGAAGAAGCCTCTGACTGAAGACACTTTGTCTTTCTATGACAGTCTGATGAAGAGGATGGTCAGGGTTGTCCACAATGTTCTTGATTTTATGTAAAATCCTTCTTTGCACCATCATCTCCAGAGATTCCACAGTCYTCCCCAGAACAGAACCAGCCTTCTTTATCAGGTTGAAATGAGATTTTGTATTGGTATCAAAGCCACATATACTTGAAATAATTCCCACTTGAATTTATTTATTATTATTTGTGGATTTTTTGATCCAAAACAGTAACTCTGAAGCACACACACTCAGTAAATGCTATGGAATGGCAGTCACACATTGTCTTAAGCTGTAATGCTCTGGAGATTTTACAGTGCAGCTGGCAGAAACACTTCTGCAATAAGTCAACTGTCTCCTGATATGTGTGAATTTCAACAGCAGCAATTAATTCATGACTGTTTGCCTGCTTTCATACTTCCCTTTTCTGCATGTTGACAGAGGGTTTTATAACAGAACCGCTTATGCTGACCTCAATTTGGGTTTAAGGGTGCATCCAGAACACAAAAGCGTCATTTCTCTGTGCTGAAAAAATAGATTTTTTTGAAGTCACAACACAGACCCAACACTGAAACAGAATGAACAAATAGTTGACATTATTTTATTACAATCACATTTAACACATAATGCATTGTGTTCACATGTTGTTTTGGACTTTCACACATAATTTTATTTATGCAAACWCTGAAATCACACATGACTTTGGCACATATGATGTTTTTTGGAAGACATTTGATACATTTTTTGTTTTATGAATATTTTTCCCTGTCTGTCCTCTTATTTATCTAGCATTTTGCTACTTATTACTTACTGGTTTTAGCTATTGTTCGGTTACTTTCCACCTCGTGCACAGTGACATTTTTGATTCAAAAAGGAAGAACCAGGTAAAAGATGATGGCTACAATGTTGCTATAGCTATATTCATAATAATAATAATAATAATAATAATAATAATAATAATAATAATAATAATAATA